GGATCATTTCCTCCCTGTAGAAACGTCACGTCATGTCACTTCATGTCACGTCGTGTCACAGGATCATTTCCTCCCTGTAGAAACGTCACGTCATGTCACTTCATGTCACATCGTGTCACAGGATCATTTCCTCCCTGTAGAAACGTCACGTCATGTCACTTCATGTCACGTCGTGTCACAGGATCATTTCCTCCCTGTAGAAACGTCACGTCGTGTCACAGGATCATTTCCTCCCTGTAGAAACGTCACGTCGTGTCACGTCGTGTCACTTCATGTCACGTCGTGTCACTTCATGTCACATCGTGTCACAGGATCATTTCCTCCCTGTAGAAACGTCACATCGTGTCACGTCGTGTCACTTCATGTCACATCGTGTCACAGGATCATTTCCTCCCTGTAGAAACGTCACATCGTGTCACGTTGTGTCACTTCATGTCACATCGTGTCACAGGATCATTTCCTCCTCCTGTCGCAGAGCGAAGTTTTAACAACCGTAGTTTTTTACTCACAAGTTGTCGGAGAAAAACCTTGTTTTTATGTATTTTTACCCACAGAGATGATAAAAAGATGGACGTTCTTCAGTCATAAATCCATCTTACTGTTCAGTTTGGGTCAGTTCAACAGGCTCACTGTACGGCAGGCCCATATCACATTTATTTGGTTTCACCACGCTTACATTCCAGTTATCTGAAATTGTTTTGTGACTAAATTAAACACTAGTTATTTAGGATAAATAAAATGTTTTGTTTGTTTTATTTACTTATTTTTAAGTTTGTAGATCTTTCCAACTTGAGCTTCGTTTGACGTCGATTTTTGAGAACAAGTTTTTTCTTCACTCTGCACCCGTTTCATTCAGGGTAGGGTTTACTTTGTTTAATGCTGTACATATTGTTTTGTTTTTATAAATGAAAAACACACAAATAGACATATCTTAATATATTTTAACAAGGCTAAATATCTATTTAAGATATGTCTAATTATATTCTGACCATAGTATAAATAACATCAGATTTATCAGTAAGTTGTAGGAAGACTCCAGGTCAACATGTATCTTTAGAAATTAAATAACTATACAAGATTCAATTAATGCAAATTGCAGACTGTCATGTTCTGTACATTGTATTTAAAACAAAGCTGCTGCTGTTGATCATTGTTTTTATAAGCCCCGCCCCCAAGGTCAGTGCTCCAGGGGAAACACTGGAGAGCTCTAAAACAGTTTATTTTTGATAAAACAGTTGACTGTTGGTGACGTAGTTTAATCAGATGTCATGAAACAAACAGGAGACCCTGAAATACAACATATATTATGTACCTGAGTAACCATGTTAATATATCTGTAGTACAAATACAGTACACGTTTTTCTTTATCTAATTTTAACATTTTTGTTTCAGGCAGGTAAAACAAAAAAACTCGTTGAACCCTGGTAGTATGGACCGTACCTGACCTTTGACTCCTCCCACATTAACGCTGATAATAAAGTAACAGTTTTTCAGACGATCTGTTTCATATTTAATAAAACTATAAATGGATCGAAGTTCACAGAATAAATCAGTTTATTTTTTTCACAAAAACAGGAAAGAGTTTTGTTTCTTTTCAAAATAAACTTCATATCTGTTCACTTCCTGTTTCTCCTGAAGGCGGGGCTTTGACTTCACCTGAAGGCGGGGCTTCGACTTCACCTGAAGGCGGGGCCCCACCAGGCGGAGCCCTGCAGCTTCATCACTTCCTGTTTCTCCTGAAGGCGGGGCCTGGACTCCACGTGAAGGCGGGGCTTTGACTCCACGTGAAGGCGGGGCTTCGACTTCACCTGAAGGCGGGGCTTCGACTTCACCTGAAGGCGGGGCTTCGACTTCACCTGAAGGCGGGGCTTCGACTTCACCTGAAGGCGGGGCTTCGACTTCATCTGAAGGCGGGGCTTCGACTTCACCTGAAGGCGGGGCCCCACCAGGCGGAGCCCTGCAGCTTCATCACTTCCTGTTTCTCCTGAAGGCGGGGCCTGGACTCCACGTGAAGGCGGGGCTTTGACTCCACGTGAAGGCGGGGCTTTGACTCCACGTGAAGGCGGGGCTTCGACTCCACSTGAAGGCGGGGCTTCGACTTCACCTGAAGGCGGGGCCCCACCAGGCGGAGCCCTGCAGCTTCATCACTTCCTGTTTCTCCTGAAGGCGGGGCCTGGACTCCACGTGAAGGCGGGGCTTTGACTCCACGTGAAGTCGGGGCTTCGACTCCACGTGAAGGCGGGGCTTCGACTTCACCTGAAGGCGGGGCCCCACCAGGCGGAGCCCTGCAGCTTCATCACTTCCTGTTTCTCCTGNCTTCGACTCCACGTGAAGGCGGGGCTTCGACTTCACCTGAAGGCGGGGCCCCACCAGGCGGAGCCCTGCAGCTTCATCACTTCCTGTTTCTCCTGCGGGCTGAAGTGCAGGATGGTGACGATGGCGCCGAGCGTCTGGCGCCGCCCGCTGGCGTCCTGCAGCGTCAGGAACCTGTACACCACGTTCTTCAGGTACTCCAGGTTGGCGCCCTCGCGGCTCTGGTCCCGGCCCAGCTTGTGGAGGCGGTCCCTGAGCTGGGCCGTCTCGTCCTCGTGGCGCTCGGCGTTGGCGATGAGCTTGGCCTGCAGCTGGTGGAGCTCCTCCTCCAGGAGGTGCTTGTGGCGCCGCAGGCCGCCCGCCTCCGCCTCCTTGCGGGCCAGCTGCTCGGCGTACAGCAGCAGCGTGGACTCGGTGGGCGTGGCCTGTCGCAGGGCCTGGCTGATGACGTCGCCCTCGCAGTCGGAGCCGGCCTCCTGCCCGGCGGCGACCTCGCGGCTGACGACCTCGCGGCTGAYGGCGGCGCTCCTCAGCCGGTCCAGCTCCCGGTCCTTGTCGTCCAGCAGCTTCATGGTGCGCTCCCGCTGCTTGTGAAGCTCCGCCTCCAGCCGYAGCAGCTGGTCACGGTGCTGCGCCTCCACACGCTCCAGCTCCTGCCGGTGGGCGTGCTGCAGGGCGGCGGCCTGCTGCTGCCGCTGCTCCAGCTGCAGGCGGTGCTGGTCCTCGGCCTCGTCGCTCTGGACCCTCAGGTTGATGTACTTCTCCCGCAGCTCGGCCAGCTGGTCCCGGACCTGGTCCAGCTGGTCCCGGACCTGCTCCAGCTCCTTGGCCTGGCAGCCGTCCTTCACCGTCTTGTTCTTCAGGACCACCTGGGCCCGCACCTTGTAGCGCTCAAACTCCTCCTTCAGCTGCTGCAGCTCCTGCTGGTAGGCCAGGGCCGAGGCCCGGTCCGGGTCCACCTCGGACCGAACCAGGTCCTCCTCGGTCCGGGCCAGGTCCTGGATGTTGAGGTCCGGGTGGCCCTGCGAGGCCAGCAGCAGCAGCTTCTTCAGGTTCTGCAGCTTGTCCTGCAGCGCCGCCACGCTCAGCTGGGACTCATCAGGACCCGGGTCCCTGCTGGACCTGCTGGAGGCGGCCAGGGCCAGGGTCTTGTTCTCCGTGTCCAGCTGCAGGATCCGGTCTCTGAGTCTCTGAGCCGCCTGCTGGTCCCGCTGCCGGGCCTTCTCACAGGAGCCCAGCAGCTGGGACAGCTCCGAGACCCTCTGCTCCAGACCCGCCACCCGCTGCTCTGCAGCCTGGGCCCGCTCCCGGGTCCGGTCCTCYGCCTCAGACACCTGCAGACAGGAGAGTCCGGTCAGCCAGGACCTGGTCTGATCAGGACC